AAAATTAATTATATGACCTTTTCTATTTTTCTTAAATGGCGTTGGAAAATGTGTTCTTCCAACCAAATTGACAGTTTCACCTTGGCTCGAATACAAATATGTCATTATTATAGTCCGATAGGAGGTAACTGTCACCTACAGATGAGCCATTACGCTTGGAGGCTAGAGTATTAAATTGAGACTGAGTTTGGCTACACTGACCACTGGAGTGAGGCATATGAGTGAGGGGCCAGTTTATCATTCAGCTGGGCATAACTATACTCAGAAAAATAAAGAATATCTCTATTTATCCTTTGAGTCAACAGAATAAAGAGGTCACTCCATATGTGCAGGCAATCTCTTTGAATCCTTTTAAGAGCTATCCAACCAGAAGGAAAGAAATCATAATAGCCTAAAGTGGTAGGTGGTTAGGCCTAGATTCAGGGGATATTTCTTCTGCCCCAGTCATGGCTCTGCTAGATATTGGCCAAATGGGCATGGATTTGTGCAGGGATGAACTGTACCCTTCAGAGCTGCTTTCTGTAGGAGCAGGGCTGCTGTGGGCATTGATTGCTCCTCAGGGAGGAGTTTCTTCCTACCCTGGAAGTCACTTTTTGCTTCCTCTCATCTTACTGACATCTTCTCTGTTACAACAATTAGCATGTTTAACGTCTAGTCGCAAGGGAAGCAAGGAGCTATTCTCCCTCTTCCCATAAAGGATACTCAGTCACCTAAGATGCTTCCTCGTAGTCCAGCATGGCTTAGTTCTTTCTCACAGAATGTCATTTGAATAGCTGTAAAGGTTCATGGTAAGCATAAGCCTCCTGAGTGCTACAAGGTCCACATGGATTGACTGGCCCCGCTCTGCTGATTTGCAAGTTTGGCTAGGTGACTCGACGCTGCAGGTTGGATGAATCTACTCTTGTTTTCCCTGCACTAACAGGCTAACCGTCACATATTCTCTTTCTGGCAATGGCAGAGGTGGAAGAGAACTGAACAGAAACAAGGCCTAGGCTCAGAACTGCCCACAGGCCGTTAGCCGAAACAAGTCATTGGCCAAGCCCAGAACCATGTGGAGGAGACAGACAGCCAACCTTTAGTGGAAGGAACACAGATCAGGGAAGAGTGAAGAAAGGGGTGAATAATTCAGTCTTCTGGGAGCATGACTGTTGACCTGAAAACTGCAGGCATTCAGGAAAATGGACCAGCATTAGAATCTACAGAAAAGCCAATTAATAAGAAAGAAGACAAACAGAAACAATGCAGAGGGAAAGGAAGAAGAGAGAATCTGAGGGATTTTGAGATCAAACTCAAAATCGAATCTGATCTTTATAGAAGAGAAATCCTGGAAACTGTCTATAGATCAGATGTACCAGAACCACTAAATAAGGGAGTTCTAAAAGAAGCTTTCTTCGTTTGAAGCAAAACATTAATCTGTAGATCTTTAGATTAGTGCCCACTAGTCTATGTCACTCCCTAGCAATAAATTAGATTCTCCTAAAAAGATGCACGAACTGTTTTCTGACTATAAAGTATATTAGTAAGTATATTAGTATATTAGAAGTTATTTTAGTCCTTATTGTTGAATCAAGAGTAGCTTGAAGAAACTGAAGGAGGAATAGAGAATAGTAAACAAAGAACAGGGAAAATTCCTACAAGGAAAGATTAAGGGAAATTTGGGTCATTTAGTTTAGAAAAGGAAAAAATAATAGCAACCTAATTCAGAATTTTGAGTGTATATAGGATTTAGTCCGTCCTAATGCTTTATGTCTAGGCCATTCTGAATATGATAAAAACTTCAAATAAAGCATGAAAATTTGCATGTAGACATGTGTCTATTTCCCTAGATAGATTCAAGAAGAAGGAACATAATCACCTTTCTAATTCTGATTCTAAGATTTTTTACAGTGTCAGTAGCTGTACAAGAAGTTCCAGGTTTACAGACATATTTTCTGCTAAATGTTATTTATAAATTGGTGGTGGTTTGGAATGGAGAATGATGTCTCTTTTTCAGAACTATTATATGTGGTGCTTAGATTTTTGAGAGCAGCCCACAAGGAAGGAAAAAAGGAAGGAGGGAGGGAGGATGGAAGGAAAAGTATAACTAGAATATTAAACCCTCGGCGTTAGAATCACCTAGGAAGATTTTTAAAAATAAGCATTCCCAGGCCTCATCCCAGGAAATTTGGATTTAGTGACCCAAGTAAGGAGCCCTGAAATCAGTGTTTTCTTAAAAGAGTGCTTTAGATAATTGTATTGAGCAGTCAGGTTCAAGAATGATCACTGTAAATGGAAAAAAGGATAGACCGTAAGTGAAATCCCATTTTGATACCTAGAAACCCCCAAAGGGGAGTGGGAAACAAATTTGATTTCACACACAAGGATAAAGGACAACCCTGACCCTTGATTTCAGACTGATTCTGAGCTTTCCTGCCTTGATTCAAGGAAATTTGAAACCTGCTTTGGGGACTCCTGTAGCTCTGACTTAGAGCTAGAGTCTCTGCTCCGAAGGCCCCACAGTGGAGCCAAGCTTTCATTTGAACTTGATTAGAAACAGTCTTGGTTTACCAGGCTAAAAAAATGAGGCAGGCCAGGAAAGCTGGCTACTTGCCGAAAGGCCAGAAAATTCTACTGTTTTTCAAAGATTTCTGACTGAAATTAAAAGCAATATGGCCTTGAAGTGAGGACATCAAAGCAGCTGGAAAGGAAGTAGAGAACCTGGTCACCAAAATGGATAAATAGATTGTCATTCTTTAGCACTACTTTGCCTTAGGTAATGTCAGGATTATACTTTTGGCTCCCTGGAAACTACAGTTAAAATAAACTAAATGAGATTGGAATCAAAAACAAAATCTGCACACATTTCTTTTTTTAAGAAAATTTCGAATATCCACATCTTCTGTACGCTTTATCTCCCCTTCCAGTGCTGTATTAGAAAGCACAAGGGGTTGTTTCTGGCTTGGGCCCATTGTCAACCACTGTTCATGACATCACTATGTGTGATGGGTCCCTAGGGGCC